AATAATGAGTAGATGCATGAGCGCCACTGTTTGTGCACCCAGTGTCTCTAACCATTGATGACCATGATCTCGGAGTCCCCATCCAGGAAGCCTAACGGGAGCTATATGAACAAGTCTATTCGTCTGGGTTTTCATGCCCTCATACCAAGTCTTCGTTTGATCACCCTTGAACTGTTTCCAACCCCTACCTGCCTGGGTAAACATTATGCGCTGTGGCAACTTATTTGCTGACATACGTAACACGACCCAACCAAAGCAGTCTATAGAGATAGACCACTTGTCCCACTTGGGCGACCGCGATTCCCTACAACTATGCACCCGTTTCCCCACCAGACTCATATCAATGCGGCGTAGACAATCTATTTTTATCTGGTTCTCGTAATAGTCAAGTCTCCGCGCCGTATAACAGTACTGACCGAACTGCTGCAGCATACACTCCACTCTTGAGAGACAGCTGGATGTTGGGACGGCGCCGCAGATGTCTCAAGTTGGAACACGACCAACCGAGCCTTCTGTATTCGTGCCGACGCTTCATCTGCTTCATCCGTGTTCGCTCGGTTAGATATAGCTGCCTAGATAGCAATATTTGTCTACTTCCTCTACTACTACTCAACCGAAGTCAGGGTGAGGAGTTGAGCCAGCCACATTCACACTTCACTTCCACTAAACTCCCCCCTCCCCCAGGAGAGGATGCGATGAGCGTCCAACTGGTGCAATGATAGTGATACTGACAAAGAACTGTTAGACCACCATTGTCGTGATCAATCTGCCACTACTCATTATTGATCGAAAACAGTATAAGGAAAAAATGGACCGAAAGTAGATAGGTCAAACTCAGTTTCAGTCTGGCGTTATTCGTATGCATACGTTCAATTTGGTGGTGTATTCAAAACAAAAGAAGCCAAACGGATGAACGTCATATTCCACATTCGAATGTGATCGCCACAGAAATTTATTATGGGGGAAGGGAAGCATGGATCAACAATTAATCTTCACTAGTTCTCTGTTCACCGCGGTCTAAGACCGTTCGCGATCTATATATATAGTTCAAAACACTGAGTCATTCAGTTTGCACAATCACCGCATAGTTTCGTGACTGACGGGGTAGGATTCACGGCACAGTGTATTACGGAATGTGGAGCAAAAGAAAAAAGGAAAAATGAAGAAAAACTGAAGTGGCGCAACACTAATAGCAAAACAAAAAAAACACCGGCAAAGGGTTTGGACTGTGGGATTCAAAGCATGGAGTAATAGGATAAGAAGTGACCAGAAAGTTACTCATCATGCAATCGAAACATGCCACTTAAACTCCTCATCAACTGGATAGGGATCGAGTTCTGGATGAGCGTGTCTTCTCAGTAATAGCCCAGATTACAACTGACCGGACGATGCCAAACTGTAGGAAATCAAATGTATCATTCTCGGCTCGTGTATNGATATCGCACGAGAAGGAACGCTGCACTGCACATGTATACAGAAAAATGCAAGTACACAACCAACGCAACTCACCGATTACACACCGAAGACGTTTTGTTCGGATAGTAGCCGACCGGACATTCTGTACGACAGGTGCCAGCAACCACCGGGAGTTGAACATCCGAGATACTACGCAACAGTAGATCGGATTCCACGCCGTCGGTGGCCGCCCCTTCATCCGGGGTGATCAGTGGGACCAAGTATCGACCGTTCGAACAAGCTGTACAATCGTATTCGGTGTACGGTCGCACACAAGCGGCACACAGAGACCAGCATGGCTGACAGACCACATTGTTAGTCAGACCGTGCATCTGATCTTGCACGTCACTTATGCGGATTCGGCTGGACAGAACAGTGTCGTACGCGGACCCGGTGGGGTACACGGACCCGGGTTTGGTTCGACTGCGACCGCGTTTGTGAATTTCCCACAGACCTTGTTGAGTTATACTAATCCGAAGAGCTCCGAAAGGAGTTGTGCCCGGCGGACATTTTGCCACACATTGTCTGAAAATGCAGACAGCAGGGGGGGGGGAGTTGCAAATCTGTCTCAGGAAAAAGGATTATACCTATGGAAAATCACATCAGCATTATTTAACTTGTGAATAGGCTAAGTTTTATAATAAAAAAAATTCGACAGGTTTTTTTAGGACTCATTTGTGTGTGTGTGAGGCATAACAACCGAGACAAACATCATAGGCCAGAGAACATGCTATTCACTCGTGGTAACCAGAAACATAGGTGTCGGGGACTTGGAGTGGCGGATAGTTTATTCGGATACGTACGTAAACAATACACACACACACACACAGGGTGGACGTGAGTTAATTTAAGCAGCTCATTGAAAGTGAGTTCGCAACGGTGATGGTTTCACTATCAACGTGTCCAGCGTCTATGACCTGGAACATTTGGAACATCGTTATACAAGTACCACACTTCCATCGCTCCTCCTACTGATATGCAGAAATTCGAACGGGAATCGCACCAAACAAAATCATCCACGCTGATTGTTACCCTCGAGGTTAAGCACAGCTGAATGCTACCAGACGTGTCCCCGGGTTGTGGAAAAGGAGGATATTTTCACAGAAGAAGGTTAGTTGTGAATAACTTGTGTCATGCCGCAACAAATAAGCAGTCGTGAACAAACAGCGGTGGCACTACCAGGGTGTGGTGGGTTCCAGGCTAGTCACCTGACTCCTGTTTCAAAGCCGCATAAGCCCAATGATGGTATCGTGACAAAGGTCGATGTGATTGGCTTTTTAAAACCGAATTCACCGACCCACTCACTTCCGAAGCGAAGGATTACTTCCTGTTCTGCCTCGCATTTCGCACTTGGTTGTGCAAAGGCTCGAGGTGCACCCTGAAAATAAAATTTAAAAATACCGAGTGACGTTGGGGACGTCTCTCGTACCAAACTCCCAAGTAACTCCACGTTCACGATCATGTCTGGAACCGGTTTATCCTTTCCAAGGAGCCAACCCTAGTAAAATAAAGTAAGTAAGCATTGTTTTGCCACTAAGTTAGCCTGTTTGAGTATTGTACAGAACCAGGAGAAGAGGAAAAGTGAATAACCGAAAACCAATGCAGAATATTTTATCGCAGACTAACAGCCAAGGTGGGAGCGGGAGGACAGTGAAAGAGCGTGAGGGAACATGGACGTGTCACAATCAATTGCATAATCCGCATCGACACGTGAAAGAAAGAAAATAACACATAAAGAAAGAATAGTTGCATTCTATTTGTGAGAATCAAGGATGGGGGGGAAGTAGCTCTCTATCTCTGTAGATGGGTTTTTTGGATGCTTGAAGTTGCTGATCCCAAATGCGATCCACATGTATGCTTAACGCTTCATGGTCAACCAAATACGATCGATTTCGTGAGGGGCGAATTTACCCTTGGCACACAGTCTGGATTCAGACGTGTGTAGAAATATAATAACAATGGGAGAGGTTAGACTTACCACAGCCTAAGTGACCTAATGGTACGCGTAATCTAACGACCCAGTCATTTAATCAGACGGTATATATATATATATATATATATATGACGAACTCTGTCAAGAAAAGTGGACTGTCAGACGAAGTGGTCATGCCACGTGACTATCGCGCTAGTTCAACCTAACTCAAATGATTTTTAATGGATCGACCGGCATTGTATGATGTCATGGGATGGTAAAATAGAATACAAATTGTGCGGTATCATTATGACAACTAAACCCTACCGAAAACGTTTTTCCACCCCTCATCCTTCCCGAAACGATTGAGTTTGTTTCGCAACTGTTTATCTGTAGTTGTTTTGCTTTTTTTAATATAACCGAACCGGTCTCCAAAGTTAATCCTTGGAGTTGACCATCGTGATGCTCA